CTGTTGAAACTACAGCTTCAACAGGCGCATACCAGTTTTAGTGGCAGCACAACAAAGAGCAGAGAAGACAACAAATACGTCAATGACAACAGAGTTTGGTAGCCGTGAACTCTTCACGGACACATGAACCCCAGCACCATCCATACGGCCAACCCCAGGACGAGATTCTACAATCCTGTGGCACCAATGCCCACACCAGCGTCCACGATAGGCGCTCCGTCAAGGATGGTGGACGAGGCGACGAGCTGCGGCGAGGAGGACAGTCTACTGAGCCGACAGCCGGAAACCCTGGAGATGGTTTCGTTGCAGTCTGAAAAAGACGCAAGCCTGAGGGAAGGCAAAAAATCCCTGGACCTTCGAAGTAACGAGGTCGAGAAGAGAAAGGCTGGGATGAAGAGTAGCGAGGATGTTCCCACCAGGCGTCCGAACATCATCCCGGATAGATTTGGCGGGAAGACCCGGTGGCGCAATTACAGGCAGCATTTTGAGGCTTGTAAAGTAGCAAACAGTTGGAGTGATCGTCAGGCAAAAGTGTTCCTGGCGGGGAGCCTACAAGGCCAAGCAGTCACGGTACTGGAAAACCTTGCTGCGAGTGGGAGTCAATTGACGTACTCCGAGTTGGTGGGACTCTTGGAAAAGAGGTTTGGCCCAGGCGAGCTTGCGGAGAATCACCTAGCGGTTCTGCGGCACAGGCGACAGAAGCCCAAGGAAACGCTGCAGGAGCTGGGGCAGGCGATAAGGGAGCTGGCCTCACTCGCCTACCCGGAACTTTCAGAGGAGGGGCCCGACCACCTGGCCAGAGGCACTTCTCTGATGCGGAAGATGTGGAAGATGATGTGGAAGAAAATCAGCGCAAGGTGAAGGAGTGGCTGGAGAAGATGACAAAGCGAATTGACACCTTCGAACGTCCAGCGGGCTCCTCGCGCAGCGCCTATCAAAGACGCAAGGCAAACCCAGAAGATGTTTGTTTTAGGTGCAAACGTAAGGGGCACTTTGCCAAGAGTTGTAAGCAAAGCGAGGAAAAGCGACTGAAGTCGGAAAACGAGGAGCAGCTGACCAAGAGGCCCGTGGGAAAGCTGGACAAAGAAGAGGGCCGGAAGGCATTGTAGAAAACCGCGCCAGAGAAGAAGTAGGTGAAGGCGGGGGTGGAGCTTCACCTTAAGCCAGTAGCACAGCGTGCAATGGATTGTACGTGCAGGCCATTGTGAGAGGAGTTAAAGCAAGACTACTGGTTGACACGGGGGCAACACACACTGTGTTGTTGTCAACACTGTATTTTAGCATTTCAAGAGACCGCCGACCACGACTAGTAACAACAGGCGCAGCAGTAGGAAACGCTGATGGGAGTGGGATGGACACACTTGGCAGCGCCTGTGTTGAGATCAATATTGGCAGAACGACCAAGTCAATCAACGTAGTCTTCGGCAACACGGGTGCGATACCAGGGGTATTAAGAATGGACTTTCTGATACCAACTCAAGAGACTTTGGAATTCAGAACTCTGGAGCTACGGTTGAGCGGGGAGACGATAAAGTGTACAAATGACCGTGGGAGTGGGCTCTGCGCCAGAGTGATGGTAGGTGAGACTACCAAAGTGTCAACTGGGCACGAGGCGATAGTGCCAGGTTATGTGTCAGGTGACAGGTTGGAAGGCGAAGTAGGGGTCATTGAGCCTATGGAGAGAAGCGAAATAGCGGATAAGGGCATGGTTGTAGCCAGGGTGCTGGTCAAAGCAGCTGAGAGTGCACTCCCATCAGAGTATTCAACCCCGGCAAGAGGGAATGTGTTGCCAGGAAGGTAACCGCGGCGGGCACTTATACGCCTGTAGGTGAAGGCGGCGTGCAGGAAGTACAACTAGGAGCAACTTCATCCAGCGGCTCTTCAGATGTTCCCACTTACCTTGAGGACTTGTTCAAGAGAGGTAAGGAAGGTGTAGGTCCGAGATATCACAGACGAATTGCTCAACTGTTGTGCCGTTATGAAGACGTTTTCTCTAAAGGGGAAGGCGACATAGGGCGCACGGACTTGGTCCGTCATCGAATCAACACAGGTAGTGCCCGGCCTATAAAGGAGAGGCCACAGAGACATCCTCCGGAGGAACAGGTAGAAATCCAACGACAGGTGAAAGAGATGGTATGCAATGGCACTGTTGAGCTTTCGGACAGCCCATGGGCGTCCAACGTAGTCTTAGTAAGAAAAAAAGGACGGGAGCAAGCGGTTTTGTGTGGACTAACGGCACCTAAATGCAGTCATCGTTAAAGACACCTACACGATCCCTCGGATTGATGAGTCACTTAACGCCTTAGCAGGATCCAGGTGGTTCTCCACCTTGGATCTGCTTTTGTAATTCGTGGAGGTTTGTACCGCTTGCGGGTGATGCCATTCGGGCTCTGCAACGCCTCCTCGCCCTCCTTGATCGACTTATGGAGAGGGTTTTGGCCGGCCTGCATTGGGAGACACTACTTGTCTACCTGAATGACGTCATTGTGTATGCTAAGACAATCGAGGAAGAGTTAAGTCGCCAAATAATAGGCACAAGCTCGCATCCAGTTCCCCCATTCTTTCCCCGTTGGTCCCCCGTCTGTCAGCCCCGTGTGGTTTGAGGGTGTGTGAGAGTGATCTGTCTGTGGCGACTTACGGGCCTGGCGGTAGACTTTCGCCAAAACGGATCTGCGTCTCGGGCCGTAGAGGTCAGGCCGCTCAACGCTATTGGTCGAGACCGATCTGGGAAGTCCTCAGAGGCTTTACCGCTACAATACTAATAGATTTTTTTAACGCAGGGAATAAAGTGAAATACAATTTCATGACAGGTCATGTCATTTGAAAATGTATTCACCAAAAAAGCGTTTAGTTGATCAAATTTAGCTAATTTAATTGAATAATAACTAGGGAGTACATCTTTGTCTCGACATTTCAGATGTAAATTTCAAGAAAGCTATTTTTTCGTGGGCAACAACTGAAATTGCAAGGTCGCCCTGTCGTGCTTTGTAACAATGTAGATAGAATTCAGAGCTACAGAATGTTCCGTATTTTTCGTCGTGCTGATGCTGTCTTGCACAAAAATCAAACTTCTGATGTCATTTTTAAAACTGTTTTTTAAAATATGATTCGTCTGTGATCTGCTGACATTATTACGATAATGTTATTGAGAAATTGGCGTAGTAAAAGGTACGAACGATGCAAACATAAATGGTGGTCATTGCAGAAACAGTGCTTCACTTCCCCCCAGCACATAATCATATACATAAACTAACAAAGCCCTAAACGCTGCTGCAGAGCCTCGTACCCAAGCACCCGACAATACAATGCGGGGGAAACAAAACTTTCAAGCCAGAGAAAGAACCAGGTAATGTACCTCTTGAGGTCCATTACTCATGTACCACGGCAAACATCTCTCTTGTTCCCGCAACTTGGTACATGCACGTTGGCACCTTCAATTCTCGACCAATAACTAATCCGAGGTAGGACGAAAAATACTGTCTATAGTCACGAGGAGACTTAAAATGGTATTAATTTGATATTACACTTTTGTCAGCGCATACGTTCCAAGAATAAAATGTTTTTACATAGGTTGTTGGGCTCAACCTCAGTCACCAATTCCTTTTGAACGAGTTTTTCTCCTTATTGTCGTTGTTTGGTGTCGGGCTCCGCCTTTCAGCTCGGCAATGTCGTTCGCTTTTTCTTTCTCTGCGATAACTCTTACCAGCTTGTCTTCAGACGGTACAACTTATTAACTTTAACACTTGGCAAGGACATTCGGTCCTGGTTCCAAGTATGCGTACACGTGTCACGTCAGGATCACGTCATCACATGAATTTTTCCATGTGTTTGATTTCTTATTATGCTCATTCTGTTTAATCTCTTGAATAAAAGATGGTATTTTCGAAATTCATCCTGTAAGAGTTTGAGAAATCATGAGGATACATATTTTGAAGGGAAATTTATGAAGGCGTCATCAGACTTGTGATTTTTAATAACCAGAAAGATAACATTTGAGCATCCTCATCAGTACTGCGTAGATACTAAAAGTCCTCAGAATTGTTACAAAGGTATGATGATGTCATCCTTGGAGTTAGTGTTAGGTTTTGACCTTTGAAAAGATTCTTCATGACAATATGACAGAAATTACCCAATCAATTAAAGTCAAACTGTACGGTCACGTGACACTTAGCACTAACTGCATTGTGGAGTTCAAGATTAAACATGGGCACCTTATTTAATTTTGGTATTTGCAGCCCTAAATGCTTAATTTAATTGCACAAAATAATCCAAAGGCAGTAATTTGCATAAGTGATTTTATAAACCCACAAATTTTGGAAGCGTCAAAAGGCTACATGACGACCCCCAGCAAAAAAAGCTGTTGGGAACAAAATGACTGCTTTCTCATGCTGTACAGCAGATTTCTATGAAAAAATACTAAGTACAATAACTTAATAAAAAGGAGTCACAATCGGGATTTTGTCAAAGTTGTGAAATACATTTCATAATGTAGAGAATCCACAAAGAATGTCATATATCATTGCAAGATATAGCCCAAGAAATCTAATCATTACACTTTAATTAACAAAATCGACATTTTCGCAAGGTTTGGATGTTTACTATGATTCGGTAATTCACTGGTGCAATCCTCGATCTGACCTAGTGTCAGATATGTTTATGCACGAGTCTTCAAAATTATTTGGCAGTCATGCATGGCAGATAATGTGCTACTGATGTAACGATGCTTTGAACATCACACGGGTAGGTGCTAAGTCACGTATGGAGTAGTTGAGAAATACAACTTAAAAATACACTTTGTAAGAGGAAGAACATATAATACTATACTATCTGATGCCACGTATTTAATCGTGAAGAAAATGAAACTGCCATATACATTGCTAAACCAAGAGTCGTTGCAAAGTAATCTAGCTGATATTATAAATAAAGATGTAGGATATTACTATTATGGTTTACATATTTGTCGCTGTGAACATTTAATCTTAAGTTATTAAATTACTTACCACCGTAAATCAAGACGGCATTACTTTTGGCCACTGCTGTCAGCAGAAATAGTCCAATTCCTGACACAAGGCTGATATATATCACCCAATAACTTGAAAGCCCAACAAGTCCGATTAGCCATACAGTCAAAGGTGTCCCTGCAAAAATTCAAATTCATCAATACAGCACTCAAATTCATCTCTGAAAATTCTTGTTAAAATTTAACTGCAATAAATGTTTCTTGGGCACAACTTTTGTTCAACTACGAATTCTTCCATTTATGGCTTGTTCGTGAGATGTCATCACAGCTTTGCTCAGAGTCGTTCGCATAAAATCCAAAAGGTGGTAAAATACTCTTTGAAATACTTAAACAAAAGTTAAAGTTAAGGTTAACTGAAACACAAAGGTGCATTTTTCGGGGTTTGTATTAAGAATTGTTTGCAGCTACCCTTTAAATCTACTGTCACTGCGGTACTTTGTCATTTACCTGGCATTCTATTTCGTTTCTAGATTCACAAAAAAATAACACATGCAAATTAGGCATTTCGTCAATTAGTACGTAGGGTAGGCATGTTCCCATTTCTCGCTTGTGATCATAACGGATTGCATATAAACTACCGACATTTATAACAATATAAGGAAGGGTTCTATTTATTTAATTCCTGTAGTAAAGACCCCAAAGTGACATGAATATACATCCGTTTGTTTGAACTCATTTGAGGAAAAGTGTGACCAAGGGAGATGGGTGGGGAACCAACGGAGCCAAAAAAGAGCAAATTATGTGTGTTTAATAATGAAAGGAGAATTTGTTATCGTTTGATTTCCCTTTTTTCAAAACGCTAGCTTCATCCCTTAGAAAGGCAAAAAAGGCACAAAAAAAACTTTCCGAATTTGTGCACCCTAAAAAGCATATTGTCCCTGCCCCTCGGAAATTTGTTTCTTGGTCCGCCCTATTTTGTGGCTTGGAGAGTCTCATTCAAACTACCCCATTCTGTGGAAAAGAAAATGTTGAACCTCCGAATCCCCCGGATATAACAGCATTTAAAATGAATAAAAGAGGAAATATAAATCATCATAAAGAAAGAATCACATATACTAGCGGGGCAATAGCAGGCAGGGAGAGCCCAGAGGAGACAAGACTCGGCACATTCAAATGGAGACGATTTAAGGCAAAATTAAGAGAAACCATACCAGAAACTAAAGTAATGGCGCAAACAGTACATACGAGAGGAAAACGTGAAGGGCCAAACACTGGCATATTGAGGTCTTGGGTCTCATCATTAGAGAAATTATTGATTTTTCTCCGAAACGATTATCCAATTTTTAGAAAAGAATCCCCCAAAGAAGATATAATGTACCGTATCTTAAATGCTGGCGCTTTCTATCCCAAATTGCAACATATCCCAAGAGGCAACCAGCCCCATTTCCCCATACGTCACTAGGGATAATAGATGAGATGAAATTACAGATTACGACAATTGTGACATTTATGTAAAGGCTATACGATTAAAACGTGCCTAACAAGAACAAAAGAAAATTCCACATCTTGCTCTGAAATCACACTGCACCATTAATTTGACATAAAAACACAGTAAAGGGGGCCAGTCGCTATAGCAGTAATCCCCCCAACTTTCTGCACTGGCAGAGTGGGTCAAACCTTTTGTCTTTGAAGTAATCAGCGCCATCAGTGTTTTAGTAATATAGTTGGGTTGCAGGCATACCTTAATTAAAATAACGCTTGGCGCAAAATCGGCTGCATGTGTTGCGAAGTGGTACATTCGATTCGCACCAAAAAGGAAGTCAATTTACTAAAACACTGCATAATCGGGAAATTGAACCCTGACTTTATACGCCTGAATGCACCTTGATTGAAATAGACTGTTTTGATTAAATAGAAACGGGGACTTGAATGCTGGACTTTTTCGCTCGAAAACGAATGCTGCTAGTACTATTTCATTTACACATTTTCAGAAATTGGCCAGGAAAATCCATATTAAAAACTGTCAGATTCGTGAACTGTTAATTACAAGACTGATGTGTGCAGGTTTTCAGTCCTGAATGGCAAAGTTCTATATTTTTTCACGCATAAAAGAAACCCGCGTTAACAGTTTGGCACTTTCAGTTGCTGTAAAAAAACATGCCATCATGTCTAGTCTCTAGACTTGATACGCCACTGCAAATATTCATGCACAAAATCTGGGATATCGTAGACATACAACACACAGTACACGTGTGCGTAGAATTGTCTGTTGTGTCAGAATGAAAACTCGTCTAGAGCGCTAATATAATTCGCTTTTGAATCAGGTAGGATTGGCCATTATTTTAAGATGTCATTGTCGATTTCCTTGCGGAATTCCTTGGCTCTGTAAAATCAAACTTTTTGGTTTTAAATTTTCTCCTTTGGTCTAAATAGCATGTCATTTCAAAATATTACATTTTATGCGATTGTCTGTTCATGAACTCCAGGTATCCATTGAGAAAATTATTCCACAAATTAAAAAAAAATGCTGAGCTTTTATAATAGCGAGCGGGAGGACAAAGAGGGTTTAGTTTTAATCATCACTGGACAAATTCATTGGAAATATGCAACATGGATTTAGAAAAAGTGTAATTCATAGCGATAGGCTGTTTCTCACCAAATGCTTGTGGGATCCCATGCATAAGCCAAAACACACCGACGAATGTTGGAGACCAGCAGAATGGCTCCCCTAAACCGTAGAGATCCATTGTACTCTCAAAGCCCTCTACTTGAAAATTCACCAGCATGTCACACACCAAAAGAGCGAGAAGTCTCCGTCGTCGGCTATTGGTTGCTTTTGTGAAAAGACACCGGATGCCCTCGGTGATATTCGTAATCACTCCTAGATCCAAAGGACGCTTCTTAATGGACTCTTGAACAAGACATGAAGGAAGTACCCAGAGACAAGCCAACAACGCTGATACAGTTGCTATCAAGAAAGGTACAGTGTAAGAAGATAAAGCCTGAAGTAAGATATTAACCACCAAAGTGCCTATATACATGACAGAGATTTCTATGCCGTAGACGATGGCTAAGGCAGTGCCTCTCGTCTCTGCTGCAAAAATGTCTGTAACATAGAGCATGCAAATCGAATTTAAAAGTACATATCCTCCAGAAAAACCAAAAACTGCACAGCCAAAAAGAGAGTAATATACGGAGAGATCCCAGAATGACACGATTAAGAAGCCGGTCGTCATGGCAAGCCCACCGAAGCATCTCAGAAGGATTATGGGACGGCGGCCAGTGAAGTCAGACGCAGCAGTCAACGGCAGGGTCGTGAGGACTGGGACGAAATCTTTGAGTACGCTCTGGTATGTAGCGAACAGCGCGGTCGCTGCCTGGATGTCGTTGAGCTCCTGGGTGACGTTGCTGGTCGTGCACGAGTTAACGCCGACTGGAAGGGTGAAGTTCCTTTCGCGGGCAAAAGCGGAGCGAGTGAACTGTGCTGAAAGTGTTTGCATAACGCCTTCAGGTATGAAGATCAGAAACTGCAGAATGATGAAGGTGGCGAAGGAAATCCAGGGAGATCTGTTATATAAGGCTTCTGGTTCAAGAAGAGGTTTGTCTTCGGATTGTATTGCCATATTCTATAGCGTGTCTAGCGGCTCAGTGTGTTACCAACAGCAACAGCTCTGCTTGGTTGGCCTTAACAGGTGAAACGGCAGCGATTATCAGCCAGTGTCGCTATGTTGTATCATTTTTGTTTGTGTCATGTGAACAGCTAGGAAAATTTATCAACATTTCTGTCACCAGCTGCAAACAAAATATATAATGCTTTACTTGTAGGAAAGTGCACCTGAACGCTTCACTGGCTCCGTTCTTCAGTAACAAGAGCTATGTACGTGATATCGGTCTATGAATAGATGTATGCTGTTTTCTCCACTGATTGGTCACGGAGCAGGCTGCAGTCAGCAATTCTCCTTCAGTGTTCACAGACAGTTAAATAAAACATGTAATTCAATAGGCTTATTTGTGTATTTCCAACAGTCAGAATGGAATGAAGACTTGCTGTTTCATGACCACTGGCAAGTCTGGGCTTTGGACAGTTTGTACAAAAAAATTGAACTTTTCATGACTTGTACTGAATTTAAATCTGAAAAATAATTTGGTTCAGTGGGTTTCTGGAACATGATGGTACGGAACTCTGGGGAAGGCACCTACCTGTATTTATCCCACGATAACGACATATTGCTTGTAAGATGTCGTCATCTTGACACCCGAAGTGTCATATTACGAGATGGCAGTATCCTGAAAGCTGGACGTCGATATCCTTCGATAATCTACCACAGGATGACTGTATCCCGAAAAAGCAAGTTGACATGCCAGGATAATTTTTCTCTTCATGACAAAAGTCATGGATAGAAGTTTTGGACAGAAGTCAACATTCTAAAATGACTATTCACGGAATGGCGACGTTCTTAATGAACTCGACATATCTTGGGACTATACGAAACTTGTCGAACTTGGAAATCCACGTATTTGGACCTCAAGTTAAAGCCTTGTAATGATACATTATTTAATATTACAATTATGTAATATTACATAATTCTATGAACCCGGTACTCTATGGACCCGGTACATAAAGCCGGCGTACAATCGAGGGTATAGAAGCTAGCAAGCAAGCAAGGTAAGCACGGACAGTCTATAACAAAGATTTCACTCAGGTTTCAGTAAAACTTTATTTTCTGTTCAGTCTACCTGTCTCCCCCAACTTATTTTAGTGTACAGTACCTAATAAATAGGCATGCTAAGCACTCTGGATAGAGGTATTGGTTACGTACGCCTTTTTAAAACTTTTCATTAGTCAACTGGACTGAATCGAGGAATATAATTCTTTGTTACTAGAATTCTATGCTTAGAGCTTAGAAACGGTGGTATTGATTTAAAGAACCCTTATGCCACGGCTGGATATAGGGCATGAAATGAGGGACAAATGCCCTTGGCTTCTCCTAAGCCCTGTGTTGACTGTTCCGTGTAACGATCTATAAAAGTTCATCCAATTTCAGTGTGTGGTACGTTTGCTTTTTGCTTCCTTAATTGCTTATTTATTTTAATGCCCATAATGCATGCGACCAATGCGAATAAATAAATAAATTGAATAATCTGAATTATTGAATAATACCTGGGGGAGCGGGGAGTCATGCTCTTGTAGTGGCCTTTTCCTCGCCTTCCACCTCTGCGACCCCGAGGGTATGAATCCCACCTGTATAGGTCAGCATGTGGATTTGGTTTTCAGTCCCTGTCTGATTTGGGGTTTTGCCTGAAATATATATTTATAGTTCTCCTCCAACCTCTAACCCCAACTATTTCTTCATTGTTCTCCTAACTGACACTTCATCCTGTAATTGACGCTAAATGCGCTGTTAGAAGAAGATAAATAAAAGATAACAAAAGATCATTGGCGGCTTTCGACAATGACTCTTAATAGCACTGGCTCGTATATTGTGGTCCTTCCTCCTCCTTTTCATCACCTTCATTCTAAAAATCTTAGTACTGTCAACCACTAAATACTGTGACCAATTTCAGCCATATGACCCAAGCTAGATATATGCTGCACTCTGACTGGGGTAACCTAGGTAACCTAGAAGTCATGTTATCAGTGCGGGCCTCTTGTCAGTTTGTAATGAGTGGATTGTTTTTGCAGCTTTCAGGCATTGGTCACCCAGTGGTAAGTATAATTCATGCTAAGTACTGTGCTTTGTTTCCTAGTCTTTACAATGAATCTACATGCAGTCAATATACATGTAGTTCTGCAACATGATGACGTCACGCGTCATTTGCATGTCCGCTTTCCTATCATGCAGTGAGGTTGGATGCGATCCGTCAAGTCGCCTTAGAAAAATGCCAATGTAAATAAAGCTTGACGTCGGTATGTTGAAATTTTCCTGAGAGCCACTGGTGCTTTGCATTTTAGATGAATTTGTAGCTACAACATAAGGAACAACTCTGGGAACAACCACAATCACTGTGTAATACAGTCTGAATATGAATGAATAAGCTCTTAGAATAACTTTAACTCACATCTTCTCAACCGCTCGTGGTATTAATTTCGTTCTCTCAGGGTATAAAAGACTACTTAAAATGCTTTAACACAATTCAAAACTGATATCCAAATTGAGTGCATCGAATTGACTCGAACGAGGACACCACAGCGAAGTTCATTGTACGAGTCAGTCATTTTTACGATTGTGACCACTGTGGGGGGCTTTGAACATCCACAGGTCCACAGCAAACTCAGGGAACCCTTTCGTTTTCATGCTGAAATAAGATGTAAACCCTAAGGAATCTTCTGATATAAACCTTATGCCAGGTGGACAAAATTCACCACCGTTAAAAGACCATAAAGGAAAAGGTTGAATCAGGTTGCAGTTAGATTCTCCTTTAAAATCCACGGTGGATGCCTTTCCCATGCTGCACAACTTGGGTTTTCTCCGCGGTATTTCCTAGGAGAAACGTCCCATTGCGTCCCTTTGAATGGGACCCAATGGGATGAACGTGGAATTTGGGACATATCCCCGGGTCCCATTGACATATCCCATTGACTCAATGGGATTCAATTGGAATGTAAAGTCTGGGTGAATATTTCCCATTGAAACCAATGGGATCCCATTCGGGGAGTCCTATTGGGTCCCATTAAAATATCCAATAGGATTCAATTGGAGTGAACTGGAATTTTCTCGTGGGAACTGTCGGACAAATTAGCCCCGTCAGAAGTCGTTAGAAAATTATTATTATATATGGTTAGAAATTTTAGGTATTGGTAATTCTTGTCATGTATATTTTATGACAAAATACAACAAGAAAGAGCTGTAATCGTTGTGTAAAATGTGGAATTGCTAACCTTGGTAGTACATGTATGACCAAAACACGTTGCAAGGCGACCCAGACCTGCAAGACCCTACCATTTTCAGTGTAGGTAATACGTGCAAGTACTTGGTCGGGATATTGTTAAAATTGTTGTACAGGATTGTAAACCCCCCAAAAAGAAAAGAGAAGAAAAAAAATATAAATAACAAAAAATAAAATTAAAAAAACAACAACAACAAAAAAAACAAAGAAGAGAAGAAGACCCAGGGCCTTAATTGTATGTGTACGCTTGTGTGTTATGAACTCACTTTTAGTGAGTTTGTATCGTACGTCCCTATTTACATGTGTAAAGTGGAACGATACCACCACGTACGCACATACACTCACTGTAGCGGCGTAAAATTGTTATAGCGCCCTCTTTCGGGTGATTAGTGAAATGCACCGTTCGCTTCTTGCACTCGATGCACTGCGTACACGAGCGACATCTTTCCTTTTATTAATGTCACGGTTACGTGGGGGGTGTTGCCACCTTGACGTTGTGGGTCCGCTCAACCTTTAAATTGAGGACAGGAAACTGCTAAGTGATCACAGATTAATCAAAGAATAATATATGTATTCAGTACAACATGATGTTCCGTGATTGCATTTCAGATTAGATTTAATTATTCAATCCAACAATTATGAGACAGCATAGGCTACACTATAATATAAACATGGAGGAAGATCTAAAGTATGAGTATGACGTAACCAGAAGTGTATTTGTTTATTAAGATGAGACTCCTCAAGAGTTGAGAATACAAAGTTAGGTTTCTA